TGCTATAGTTTGTGTGTCTTAATCATCTTTGTTTATTGTAATTTTGTTTCATTAAACTATGTGTCAGATGAGCAATAGGGGAAAAATACTGAGACACTGAACATTAGAGCTAACCTATCTAGAAGGTACTTAGTATCAGACAGTGCTGTCTGGACTTAGAGATCCTGACTCTGCAGAAGCACAAGTGTAAGGACATTTTTTAAGATTATGGCTGAGTTGAGACATAAATGGTACAATTTTCAGTGCCTCTGTGCCTAACCTGCCCTGCACATCTTTTCTTCTTGATAGTAAGCATGCACTTACACTGGTTTGATGCCTGTAGTTTAACAGACAGTTCAGATTAACAGTTCCTTTTGGACTGGTGGTTTAAGCTCTGTTGCCCAAAGGGTGAGCTTCATTCCCCTGATTACTTATGTGGGAGGGGAAAAGAAAGAAAGAGTTTCTATCAAGTTTTGTGATGCTTAAAGATTAAAACATGTTTTTCTGTTTGTATGACTAAAGAAAGTTGAGCTTGAGAAGTAGGTTGTTTGGATAGCTGGGGTAGTTCTGTTGTGAGTTGGGTTATTTTGGGTGAGCAGGAGAGTTGGGGCAGCTGAAGGGGGGTATGGATGGCCCTAGGTTTGGTGGTTTTTAGAGTAGTAGCAAATCAGTGCTAGAAATACACAAAATCTGCAAACCTGTCTTGGAGATGCCTTTAGCCTTGTACTCAGTGTGAGCTAGGACTTTCATAAAGCAGTAGTACGTTCTCTTGGTTGCTTGCCACAAGGAGGTATATTCTATGCTTCAAGCTAAAGCCCTTTGGTGACGATTTTCTTTGCTCTTCCTTAGGTTTAAGTATCAGTTTACTATTAGGTGTCACAAGCAGAGATGTGAAACACAAACAAACTTTCTAAAGCCAAGTGCCATGAAAAAGCAGAGCACAGAGTCTGGATTCCCCTGTCATGCACAGAACTGAACTTTCCAGGTCAGGGTGGGTTGTGATTTCAACACCATCTGTTGTGCCTGGGGATGCCAATGCAATAGTTTTTGTGACCAGTAACCTTACACAGTTTGCCATGAAAGAAAATGGGATGTGGATTTTGGTTTTAGTCAACAACTTCTACTCTTACATGAATTTGTATGTGCTTTCAGAAGGCCAATTTTAAGAACAACTTATATGGCAGGAGAACTCATAATGCATGTAAGACGTTATCTAGGATCTTGGCTCTGAAATTTGTGTATGGGAGCTTACTGATTTTTCAAGTTCTGACACAGAAATATGCAGGTAACTTTGATGATCTTTTATTTCAAGAGTGTAAAAGCACTAATGACCCCAGCACTCTAAGGAGTGTCTGTAGATTGTGTTGTGCATTTAGTAGCTCCTGGTTATTTTTTCACCGTGCATTTAGAGCAGATTCCAGTTAGCATATGAGTAACATCATGTCAGTCCTAGTTCTTTTGTTCTGACATCTCTTTTGGCTCCTGGTGCGATTTGGCCCGGTTTTCCAAAATGTTGATCCTGAGTCCAAATGTAACTTTGTGGGTGGTACATATGTCAAGGCCTAGTTCAGTATTTTTGGACAGCAGTAGCATTTCATAATTCTTTTGAAATGAAAAGAAGAAACAAAGTTAACTGAAAAAAATGCAGCTAGATCTAGCTGGGCACGAGCTTGCCTTTCCTACTCCCCACTGCTCCCCCTGTTTTTCCATTTGGAAAAATAGAGGCTTACGTGGCAGAAGCACTTAACAAGCTCTAGGCTCATTCAGAGCTGGAAGCAGTAGCATTGCCTTGTCTTTATAACCTTTCTTGTCATGCCCTGGTAGCCACCAAAACCTCCTGGGATGTGGATAAGGAAGACAGAGAGTGGGAGAGGGGAGGGTTGCAACACTGTGTTGTTAAACAAGTGAGCCGGGCTGAATTACACAGAGGGCTGAATAAGGCCATGCTGGCACTAAAAGAGCCAAACCACCCCCTCAGGTTCTCTGTATGTCTGTGTTTGATATACCTACTGCCATATGATATCTTTATATACATTATGCAACAGTATAAATGCAACTGTATTACATAAAATCAAGATAAATAGTCCAGAAGGTTGTAGCCTATGTGAAATAAACCCACATGCAAAATACAGGAGGTTTCAGGGGGCATAAATGAAAATGAGCTTCATATCTTCTTTCTGCCTCCCCAGCGCAGTTGCTGTGTTTTTAGCTGAAAAGCTGTGCTTCATGCTTCTTGCAGCTTACCACACACTAGTGTATTATTTTCCCTGTTTCTCTGGTAATGCAGGATATAGGTACTTTTCTAGAGTGTCCTGGGTTGCTTTTTAGTGTGCCTGTGCTACCTCCACTGCTGTGGTTGCAGTTCTGAGCATTGTTTTTCAAGTGATGGTAATTTTTCAGGCAATAGCAACATCAACAGAAAAAGCACATTTGAGATGAGTTTGACACCCAGGTTCTAAGCCCGAGAGGTGACAGGCTATTAGTAACCACAAAATAAATCACAGTAGCTCCCTGAGCCTCCCTCACTTAGTTGCACAGTTTCAGGAGGTCACAGGCTAGCCAGCTGCTCTGCCTAATCTGCTGATGGAACATGTTAGCTGCAATGTCCTTACACCGAGGTGTCACAGTTGAAGGCCTGAGGGACAGTGGTTTTTTAATGGTTCCCTAAAGAAGCTGCACTCAGCAGTGGGGAGCATTCTTTTGAAGGACACTGGCCTAAATGGTACTTCTTTCCCTTTTTCCTAAAGCACATTAGTGTGAGGTGTTTTGTAGGAGAATATAAGGAGAAAGAGGAGAGAGGGGGAAAAAGCCTTGGTCCCTGTTTTAAGTTTTTGTTAACTTACAGGACAGTGTAAAGTGAGGGATTTGGTCTTAAATAATATAGATAATATAGTCTGTGTGTGAAGAATGGGCTTGTTTTTTCTTTTAAAAGGGGGCTGCAAGTAGTTAAGCCACATCATCCTTGTCTTGTTTGCTGTTTTAACAAATATGTACAACAATGTGAACATCCAGTAGGAATGGTTGTCTTCTCAGGCTTGTGGCTTGATTAGTCATTTGACAAATGCCCACAATGGACTCAGCTGATACCCATTGTCTTGGTGGCAGAGGACAACTGGCTCTATGCAAGGCATAGTTCAAACTCCTCAAGGATGTTTTCCCAGGGCTTCCAGTACTGTAGGTCCAGTTGGAAACTTCTAAACATGTTCATGAGTAGTCAGAAATAATAAATTGTTTGCTCTACATTCAAACCAGGATATTCAAGTTAGTGAGTGAGGCAGAGATATTTGGTGGGAATAAAGGAAAGAACAAGAGCAAAATCCATGACTGACTCCTCCTTCCCAACTAAATGCTATTCCAGGTTTTAAACATCAGGGAAGTATTATCATGTTGGCTACATGTAGTAATTTGTGCCTCTTTGTTTTGTTTAAGAGCTAATTTATTTGCCCTCCCAGTGCAAAATGCCATTTGAATGCCTTCACTGTATTGTGTCTTAGAGAGATGGCCAAATATTATGGTTATATATTCTAAGATATTCTTGACTACATGAAAGCACCCACTGCATTTTGCAAGCCTCACCTAGTTTCATTGTGGGATTTTATATATAGTAATATTTTTAATATATGAGGGGAGCCCTCCACTACTGTATCTTCTATGCATTTTGGTTGCTTTTTTCTTTTTTCTTGGTCCTTCCTCACCTCCAGAGCCCTAATATGTGATTGCTGGGAAATGTAAAGGTGGGGCTTAAATGTCAATGCAATTCTCAGTAAGTCTGAGTCTTGCCTGGGTGATGCAGCATATACAGCACCATTTATTGATCCCAGGCCTGTGCCGTATTTTGGTGAAGCAGGGGGCAGTTTGATTACAATATAGGATTTCACCCTTAATTTTTAATTTCCTGCTGGTTTACATGACAGCTTTAACATTGCATAAACCCGATCCCATGGAGCTCAGGCAGTTGTCCTGGAGAGCTGCACAGCAGGGGCTGGCAGGGATCTGCCCAGCACCTTCCCTCCCACTCTGGTTTGTGCTCTTGGGGTGCTTTTGGTGTCACCCTGAGGGCTTTGGCCATGGATAGGCCAGGAGGGAAGCACAACATGCAGGGAAAGGCTGAGGAGGGATGACTTTGTGGTATGAAGGGAAGCATGCCCCCCTGGGGCAATGCACCTTAGCCAAAAAGGTACCAGCACCTGAGCTCAAGCATGTATCATGCAAACCACAGGACTCTACAGCTTATGAGAATGTTATCTTCTGTTGCTTTTTTTTTATTTCTCACTGGAAAAATTGCTAACCTTCTCACCTCATCAGTGTCAACAGCTGGATGTGTAAAAGGTAGAGTACACAGGCATGCAGTAAACAGAATCAGAGCATGAGCATTTACTTCTCTTGTCTCTTGTCCATGGGAAAGCTGCTGTGAAATGTGAAACCTCTGACAACCTTGACTGTTGCAGTCAAGGTCAAATGAGCACTAAATATCCTAAGACTTCAGCATGTGAAGCTTGTCTCAGTTTCTGTGGTCCTGGAGGGTGAGAACAGGATCAGACAGCTGTTTCACACCATGTGTACATGTTCTGTCATTGCTCACGTTTCACATTAACAGTGTCAATCTAGGCATTGTTTAGTTTCTTGAGTTTGGAGTTGTTTTGTTTGGGTTTTTGATTTGGTTGGATTTGGGGTTTTTTATGACGCTGTATTATGGTATAGCTGGTACCATATCCGACAGTATCTTACCTGATTAGGATGTTTTGTTCCAGTTCACCTCTTTCTTTGCTGTCAATAGGAGAAGCCTGGCATGTTGGATATTTTCCCATCTTCACTTTTTCTTTTGGTGAAATGGATAACTATTTAAAGAAAACCTTCCTGCAGAAAAAGAAATTTACATCTTGGTTCAAAGGCAGAGTCGCTAGGAAAAATAATGATTTTTTTTTCTCCCCCCATTTTTGAAATCACAGGTGCTTGTTTCAGGGCACTGGGTCACTAATTGAGTACAAGCTTCATAAATGTTGTTTGTCCTCCCCCCACAGGGCATACAAAACCATTGAGGAAGATGACTTGAAGTTTCCCCTTATATATGGAGAAGGCAAGAAGGTGGGCACATTTGCTTTCCTCAGACCAAAGGAAGAAGGAATTCTGTGCTGTTTACCATTCAGTTTAGCCCATGGCAGTCCAGTGTTTTCCACTCAGTATCTCTTTATTTTATCGTTTTGACAACTTGAAAGAATATCTTAGTTCTGTCATAAATCAGTCTCATGTCTGGGGGGTGGTGGGGAGAGCGCAACATAGTAATAAGCATTTTACATCAGTCATTTGTTGTTTAGTTTGCTTTTGTTTTTCTTTCATCATAAATAGGCTACAATGAGACTCGTAAGTAATTGACTTTAAATGTTTCTGTTTCATTGTAAAATATAACTAGAACAAAGCAGGAGGATATTTAATAGTGCTCTGAGATGCAAAACTCCAATTTAGGAAGAGGAGGGATCAGGGCATGATTTGTAAAGTATAACACTTTGACACTAGCTGAAGAAGATAAGGTTATGGGAACTCACTGTAGAATTTTTCTGATGTGTGAAGGCTGATAGTTGAAAGGGAGAAACACATTCTGTTTGTTATGCTTTGTTTTCAGCTCTGTGATTAAGAACAGTGAAATCGTTAGTGTTGGTCCCAGCAAGCTTAGCTGAATGCAGCAATAGGATCAATATAAGGATGCAGTGGTGTCAGTTTGCTGATATTGGTATGCTTTCTGTGTTTCTAAACAGTGCTCTGCTGCTGCATTAGGTTATTATCTCAATGCAAAAACAGACACTCTTCAAAATTAGTCCATGTTTTGAAGATCCAGACCTGCATCTTATCTCTGAATTTCATCAGGTTTATAATTATTTGCAAAATGTTTAATGCACATCTTTTTCATTTACTTTCTTATGGCCCTGTGGAGCCAGGAGTCACTGATGCAAAATGATTCTGAGTCAGTTGCTCACCATTAGTGATGCTGAGCTCCCTTGTTCAGAAGCTGGTATGGCTAAGCTTGAGTTTGGGGGAAGTGATCAGCAGAGCACAGAGAGCAAGGTTTCCTGGGAGGCTGAATGCCTGGTCAGGTTTTGGAGCAGCTTTAATGAAGGAGAGCCCAGAACCTCTTGGGACACCACTCATGTTGCAGAGGGGAAGGAAGTGGTAGATGTGAAGGAACTGCAGACCTGCTGTAGACTGACTCTCCCTAGAAGAGAGCACTGTGGTCAGTGCTTCTGTCACGTGTGTGTGTGTTCAGCAATTTAGGGTAGCCTTTGGTACTTTTCCCTGGTAAAGGGAATATACAACATTATGTCAATAGGAAGATACCATGGATTTGTTATGTGAGTAGTTGAGCTCCTTGTCCTCTTTGTAAAACCTATACTAACAGAATAATTCCCTGAAGGAATGCTGTCATAGACTGGTGTGGACAGTGAGGTGACTGGGTTGGGTTTCTATAGCCCCAGTACCTTAGAGATAGTGAGTGGGATGTGGATGAAAACAAAGTTTGGAATAAGGAGACATGGAGATGGCATGAGTGTGAAAAGCTTTGACATTGATTGGCTATGTTAAATCTGGTGTTTCTGGGAGAGAAAAGGGAATTCATCCCTAACTGTAACAGTTACAGAGTAAGAATATTGTCTCATTCCTTATTCACACAGTCCATGTAACAAGATTTTATCCCACTGCTTTTCTTTATTTCCAGGCTCGGGTTATGGCAACAATTGGAGTGACCCGAGGACTGGGAGACCATGACCTGAAAGTGCACGACTCCAATATATACATCAAACCTTTCCTGTCCTCATCTCCTGAGGTAAAACAGCCAAGGTTCAACTATCTGATTTGTGAGAGGGAAATAAATTTACTTAGTCTGTTTATTTGTTCTTCTCAAATCATCCATTTTGATTGTGACCCAGTCCAAGTAACATGCTGTCCTTTCCGAAGGTGCAGCATGATAGTAACATCCACATAGTAGGAACTAAGTTCATAGTAGATTCTATGTTCCCAGCTGTGTGCTGATTGCTTCACATCCCTGCAGAGCACTGATGATTCCTTCTCACTCCCTGTGCTATGGTTATCCCATAGCCTTGCCATTCAGTGTGACAGATGCACATCTCTCCTTCTACCTTCATGTGCTCCAGCTCCCGTAAAGGCTTAGATCATGCTGCCTTCACAGAAGATGTAAATCTGTGTACTGCAGAAGGGGTGTCTTCCACAGCAGTGTAGTATCCTGCTTTACAAAGAGAATGCCAGATCAACTCTTAAGCAGGAAAATTCCAAGAGTCATAGGAAGGGTACTTTATGCTTCCATCTGTCTGTCCCTTAACCTTCAGTTCTTTTGATAGTTTTTTGTAAGCACCAAGTAATGACAGTGTGCATTCCCAAATGATATTGTTATGAGGAGACTATATGGTATTTGGGTTAGGGGTAGTTTTAAATGCCTCCTTCATTTTGAATGGCCTCATCACAAGCAGTTCCACCCAGTTTTTGACCACTGGGAACCTTGCAGTGAAGGATATCAAGCCTTCCAAAGCTATTTAAATGTATTTATTAACGAGGAACATGCAAGCCTTGCTATTTTTTCTCCCATTGTAACTGCATTCCTCCTGTTCCTACATCAAGGAACAGATGTCACACATTTTTCATAAAATATTAAGCAAGGGCAAACCATCTGATGACAGCACAAAAAAAGGCAGCTTTGCTTCCATGGCCCAAATGCTGAAAACTGTCCATTGTCAACTGGATTGCCAAAGTTTTAACCATACCCAGTATTTGACCTTGAATTTTTTGCTTGCTATAGCAGTATGAGAGAATGAAATCATACAAATAACATCATACTGTTAGGAAGGAACCAAATTAAGTAAACCTTGCTTATAACATCTCTAAGGCAAATTTGTCATGAATGTTTCAGGCTGCTCAAAGTATCAAAAAAATCAGGTATCAACAAAAGTATCAACAAAAGCAGGTTCAATATTAAAATGAAAGGATGACAAAGTTTGTTGGCAGGGTTCACTCTACTACTTACTGGATTGTTGGAGTGCACAGAGAAAAGATTGGTCTGAAATCTAAAATCAATCAATCTAAAACTAAAGTTAGCCAAAAATTATCTATGTGGAAACTGAGGACAAAAAAGCTTAAGGGTAAGGAAGAAGGGTAAGGGAAAGGTTAAGGATAAAAAGGAATAAGGGAGACCCTCCTGTTGAGTCACAAGGTTCAGAGTAGACCCCCTTGTCAAACTTTTCTCCGGACTTGATCACCAGTTTAGGCATAAAGGTTTTAACAACACTTAATCAATAGCTGAATTTAAACAATTTAACAGAAGATTCTATAGAATTTACTGTAAGCACAACAGTAACTGACTTACAGGCTTAACTTACAAATGTAACATATTTAAAAATCTAACAGAGCAACATTCCTAGTACCTTTGCTATAGCATATTCACACTCAGATACACAGACCTAAAAGAGTATGTACATAGCCTGTGGTCCAGGAGAGCTCAAAGGGCCTCACTTGGACCCACTGTTGATATGGTTGCAAGAAAGTTGGCTTTAGCCATAGTAATTTTCCATTCTTGCTGCAATTTGGGTGGTAACTTTCTCTGAAAGTTTGATAACTTTGTTATAATGTTGTTCCATTTGGGTTGTTATTCAGGTAAGAATAATTTGGGTTGTTATTCAGGAAGAATAAGTTTCCAAGGCTGTTTGAAAAAAAACAGGAGCTCTTTAGACAGCCCAAGCTCCTGGGAGCAGACAGTGTTTCTGATAAGCTTGAGAGAAGCTCAGCCCAGGTGCTGTTCATCAAGGCCAAGGCCTGACAGCATTTCTGAGATCATAGACTGGCCTGAGGAGGAGCAGGGAGGAAGGATGCACCACCCCACAACTAAAGATGATCTGGCTTGCTCCACAGAGTGGCGGTGTAGTCCCCTCTCACCTCTGTGCCTATAAACAGAGATATAAAATTCATATGCACTTATTATATATAAATTATATAGTAAAATTCTAATTATAAAATTAAAAAAAAATTAAAGTGCTGAGAGAACCCAGCCCTGAAGAAAAGAGAGAGATCTACAGACAGCCCCTTCTTCGTGTTTCCTTGCTATCAATCGTGCACTTTCCCCCTTTGAATGTGTAGTGTCCCTCACTTGAGACCTGCTCCTGTTCTCCTCAGCCAGGCAGGCAGGAGCTCTGCCCTCATCACTGTAGTGGATTTAATGCCATAAAAATGATGCAATTCTACCTATTTATTTTTCTTTCTGGCTTGCTGAGATCCAGTGTTTCTGGGGTACATAATGGCTGCAGCAAGCATCCCAGCAATATCATCTCTGCCAATTGCTGCCGCAGTGTTTGTGTGTGTTTATAAACCAAAGCTTCTCATGGGCTTTTCTGATTTGTGGGGAATGTGTCTGTACATGTTCAAAGTCTGGAATGTGGCATCCAGTTCGTATGCTAGCCACGTTTCAGGATCTCTTAACTGCTTTGCAAAAGGGAAGCAAAATTGGCTTTGTTTCCACATCCTCTTCACAGCTAAATTCAGCAGAAATGTATGAGGGCAGAAGGAGGAAAGACAGAGCACCAGCCACCTTAATTTAGAGATATTGGCAAAAAAACCCCTGAGTATTATTAGGAAGTAGCATATGCTCCAACTTGCTTTCTATTGCACCTCCTCCTCTTAATCATCTCTTGCCTCTCTTCCCAGAGAGAGCCCCAGTGCTTCAACTCCTCATGTTTTCCCCTACATTGTTATGTCCCTACATGGGCAGCGCACCTTGCTCAGAAACCAGCATTAAGAAACAAAGTCTTTATTCTGCCATCTGGGAGGCTTGGCACTTGGAAGCAAACGCAGTGGTGTCAGGCAGCAGTCATATTTGGTCCCTGTGCAGCACTGGATTTTGAATTGTTTATATAGAGGTAGGGAAGCGCAGTGTGTGGTTTCCAGACCTGGAAAAGGGAGGCACAGGAAATTAAGGCACAGAGTGAGTCGTGACAGAGGGAAGATCCAAGTCCTCTGGCTTCTGTCTCTGTGCCGTAATTGCAGTGTTCTTTCTCGAGTAAGGGGCAGTCTGGTGAGTTTTCTGAACATTTTATTTCCAGTGTGACAAAGTGCTGGTATGCCTATCCACCAAAATTTAGCTCAAGGAAAGGTAAACATCCCTGAGACTACATCCAGAAATAGGCATATAATAGTAATTTAAGGGTGGTGTGAAATGATACTTTGACAGAGTGCCAGGCTATGGGAGGAAAAGTCATGCAGCCAAGACTGACAAATGTAATCAGTATTCACTGGCTCAGCTGTTATGAGACCAGATTTGGAGGACTTCTGCAGGTTGGTGAGCTCTAGAGATTTGAACCTTTTATAATGAACTGGAGTAGCACAAAGCAGGCAATCCATGGCTGAGGCTCTCTGGCATGGAATTAAATATTTATTTTTCATAATGGAACAGTTAATTTAAAAGCTTTCAGCAGGAAATTCTGCTTTTCAAAACTTAGAGCGACCTTGTTGCAGATGAAAAGCAGAATTTAATCCTGAAATTTTTTTAATTTTCAGCAGCTCAGCTATTTGGTGGGGAAAGATGTGGCTCTGATGGCAGCATTTGGTCCTTGCCAGCAAGGAACCCAAAGCCAGCCACCAGAGCAAACTATAAGAAGGTAATGAAGAAGAATTTTTGTTATTCCATTGTTTGTAAAATCTTTCTGATGACTCCACAAATATGTCCAAGGAGACCATTTTAGATTCATATCTGCCTTCTGGAGAAATCCTCAGGAATTACACCATCCAAAGGAACAAGTAAGGCAAATACATAGAGAAGCACAGTATGATCAAAGGAAGTCAAAGTGGCTTCAGGAAGCAATGTCACAGTTAAGTGGCTTCAGGTCCTTGAGGTTATGTCGACAAGAGAATTAAAAATAATAATAATAATAATAATAATAAATACAGTTGATGCTCTTGGCATGAGCACTTTAATTCCTCAGAACATTTGGGAAACTGTTGTGCATCACAGCTTATTAATATAAAAGATATGAAGCTACAGACAAAGTGGAAAGTTGGCACAGTCAACTGGAAATTGGCTAAGGGGCAGGAAACAAAGGGTGGCAGTAAAAAGCTAAAAGGAGATTAATTGGTGAATGCTGCAGGGAGCATTGTTCGGACCCACTTTTTATTATTTACATATAAATTACATGGAGAGTGGTATTGAAAGATCTCATCATTTGCCAGGAAAGCTGCGCTGGATAGCACAGTGCATAAAAGGGACGATACAATTAAGAAAGGGCTTAATTTATTGAAGTAGCTGGGTTGATCAATAGTGCAGGCGAGTGAATGCAGGCTGTTGTTTAGCTGGAATTCCCCGGAGGCTGGCTGCTGAGGAGCACCTCAGGTGGCTGCAGGCTCGCATGTCACTCTGTTGTGAGCGGTTTTCCAGCCGCAGGGACGCGCATTGGCTGCCTCTTAAAAACAGACCTGGCCAACGAGGCAAGCGCCTTCGCTGGGCTGCCGTGGTCCTTTGCAGCAGCCAAAGGCAAGGCTTTGTCTGGTGGGTAGATCTGTTTGAAGTGTAAATAAAAACCAGCCCAACTGTTTGTTCATTGCTTGCCCAGAGCAGTTTTGTCAGTGCTCTTGACTGCATGTAGATAATACATAATATGAGAAACAAATACCTGGATTGAAGAAGGACATTATTTGACAAACTACATATTGCATGTTCAGAAAGATGTGTGTGACTATGGGCTCTAGTGGTGTGTATCCACTGTTACCTGTCAGCAGATCTGTAAGTACTAGTCAGGTTAAGTAATATTATCCTCTCTGTAGGATATAAGGGTAACCCAGTGCTTATTGCTGTAGCTTCATGGCTGGCTGTGCTGCTGAGGTTCTTTTCCTTGTTCCTGATAGTTTTTTACATTTTCTGATTGCTAATGTCAAGTTCAGCTTGTTAACAGGTCAGCTACTTTACGTCAATAAAACATCAGCAGATGATGTATGGTGACCAAACTTGGCTCCTTCCAGGGCTGCCCTGATACTCCAGAGAGATTAATTTAAAGAGTGAGAAACTCACTCTTCACACAGAAGGGGTGGTAGGCTGGAGGGAGTTGCTGAGAGGTCTCTCAGGACATCATGGGATGCCAAAGACACAAATTCTGTGGGGCACTTTCAGGAGTGATGTCTGGCTGCAGAAGCAGCAATTCACAAGGAAAAGACTGAAGATTCAAGATGGCATTGTCAGAAAATTTGTCAAGGGTGCTGCACCAGTTAAGGAAACATCTGTGCTGCCAGTCATTGTCCAGCCAGCTCACCTGAAGGAGCAGGGTTCTGCAATGCTGCTTTATAGCGTGAGCAGCTTTGCACAAACTTGTGTCACAGACAGAACTTTCCTTAAACCTCACTCTCTACTTCCCTGAAATACAGCTACAGGAAGGAGGCAGTCATTGGGAATGTTTACTCTGGAATCTAAAAAAACAAAATAGTCAATTTCATTGCAATCATTGAACCGCTTTTGTTCACTTAAGATTTAAAGGGCTGTGGGTTCCTTGCTGTTGCAGGCACTTAGGTAATTCCCTCAATATCTCCTCATACTTCAGAACTGTGGCATATCATACTCTCACCTTTTTTTGTACAGTGTGGAGTGTGCTGTGGGTGCTGCACACTGTGGGATGTGTGTGGAGTGGGTGTTCAGTGAGCCCTGCTGGGCTGAGCTTCCCTTCCCCATGCCATGGTTCTGCCCAGCCTGGGTGCCTCCAGGAGCTCTGCTGTCACACTGCTCCCAGCCAGCTGAAGGCACAGGGGCTACTGCAAGAGAGCCTCATTGACCCAAGAAAGAACTGGAACAAAGGTGCTGGCAGAAGAATGAAGGGTTAGGAGCTGGTTGCTTTCTGCACCTGGACTAGGCAGTCTGTGAACATAACCTGACTCTGCAATAGACTGGACAGCTCTAACTCTTTTTTGTCAGCAATATATTAGGGGCACCTACAGCTGTATTTAAGATATCCAAGGCAAGACACAAAGAAAAGACTTAAGGTAACTGGAAGGCAGACAAAACTGCATTTCATTGAACATTTACTTGCATGCCAAACTGGTCCTTACATGCAACAATTTTACGTCAGTTGCCCCAAGCTTTTCTCCTGTAACCTCGACACACTCTTTTCCTTAGCCTGGGGACTAGCCTGACACCTCCCTGTCCTCTGTGTCTCTTCTGACATCTAGTTTCCTCTCAACATATGCCTTTTTGCTGGAGGTGTCCAGTTCACAAAGCTTGTCCTTTTAGGAACTACCATACCTTCTTCCTAGATTACACAGTAAATCAGTGAATGCATCTTTTTCCTGTTCCCCTAAAACAAAACATATTCTTGGTAAAATTATCTCTTCTTGATATTGCTCATGGACTGGCTCCAGGTAGCTTTGAAAAGTTGCTCATCCATCCCAGTGCCACTCCTCAGTCAGACAAAATGGTTGATTTCAGGAGGATTCCAATCAGTGATGTATGGTTTTGCTTTCCTGACTTCTTCCCCACCTAAGCTGCAAAAATGGCTTCTGTGATGTAATGTGTCTTTTGCCTCGGTTGGGATGTCCTTTTCCCAGCACAGATGTTGGAAGCTTGGTTAGCCCTACCAGGGGCTTGGTGCTGGGTGCATCCCTGAGCATTAACTGTGATGCTTTCTCAAGTATTTGCTGGTCCCCAAGAGATCTGACCAGAACATGTGCTGTATATTGATGGTTGTGTTGGCCAACTCAGCCTCCACACCCCAATGATTTCTGAGTTGCAACTGTGGGCTGTTAAGGCTGAAATAAATTCTGGGAGACAGGAACTATGACAGCTACTGATTTCTGTACAATAAGCTTGAGAGGAGAGCTGTGCTGCGTATAGGGGTCTTTTCTGTATTCCCACTCAAGTCTGAATAAGCAGATATGCTCTAATGAAGAGAGTATCTTGCCTTGAATTTAATCCTCTCCAAAGTCCTTATTCAGCTGCTACCTTAGATAATGAAGTGAAGGTTACACTTTACAAATGACCTTCTTGTGCTTTTGAGTGAAAGGCGAACTGGTAAGGATTAGCAGACAGATCTAGGTGATTTTTAATTTTTTTTTTCCTCTGGTACTGGTTGAAGTCCCATAAAAGTGTAATTACATTAAAAGGTCCAGGCATTTTGTATGCATTGCCTGCTTCATGGCTCCTAAGGGGAGAGTGCACCATGAGGGAGAATAAAACAGCTCATATTTTCTTGTTATGCCCAGTGCTTATCCTGACTAACTGCTGTTACTGGAGTCCAGGACTGGAGCAGGGTGCGTGATGAGGTGCACTCTTTCTGAATTTCAGTATAGGTGATCCCTCCCTCCTGTCTGCCCTGTCGTGGTTGTTACAGTTCTTTCAAACTGTGGTTGTTGCTGTGGTAATTAAAGTGCTCTGTGGGTGCTTCCTAATGGCTCCCCATCACAACCTGGGAATTGCATGCATTTCTCAGCTGGAGTACAGCATGAGCTGGAAGGGGAGTTACACCAAGCTAAAGGCTTGTTTTGAAACACTTTCTATGGCCTTTGCTTTCGTTCTGGCTCAGCTGATGGCCCCGCAGTAACCCCCACTGTGACTGCCTCCACCACTGTCAGCCTCTCTGGGAAGAGGTGGTGGAAGTTGTTTTAAAAGGCAGGCTGTGAAGAGGTGCCAGCAGTGATCAGCCTGACTAGGGCTGCAGACAGACAAATTGAAGTCAGCGGGTATTTTAATAGTGCAAATGAGCTTCACTTTTGTGCAGATCCTGAATTGGTCTGTAGCTACTGAAATCCTTACAGATACATGTGACTGAGCAGTTTTTCTGCATTTCATGGAACCACTCACTTGCTCAGGCAAAGCTCGAGTGCAGCAGCTGCCTCAGGTTTAGAAAAGTGAATGCAATGCTGGCTGTCAGACAGGCATTTCCAAACATGCAATCTGGCAGACTTAAATGGATCAGGACAAATAGTGAAAACAATTATTTGTGAATATTTTATTAGAAAATATCAAAAATTCATCAAATAAATTATTCAGCTTCCATATGACTAGTCCTGCCAATGATAGGGAGGAGCCTCGTGCACTGAAGCCAGGCTGCCGGGTGGGGGAGGCTTCAAGTGCTTCTGGCATCAGGCAGCGCAGCGCCTTAGAGCCTGGTTTTGGAACACTTGCATCCATCCAGCCTGGGGTCAGCACCTGAGCCACGCTGAGCTGCAGCAGGAAGGGCTGCTGTGTGGAGGGCTGAATTGGAGACAGGCTCCACCAGTGCCATGGGAGGTTATGTCCCTGGCTGACCCCGATAAACTCACAGCCAAACTCATCAGTGTTTCACAAACAGGTCTGACAATCCTCCTTCATGAATGTGCCTTGGGTTTTTTTCTTTTAGGTGCGAGTCTATGACCTCCTGCAGTACGAGCATGGGCCAGATGATGTCCTGATCCTAGCTACTGATGGACTCTGGGATGTGCTATTAAATGAAGAAGTGGCAGAAGCTGTCACTAACTTTCTACCGAACTGTGACCCTGATGATCCCCACAGGTTTGTGCTTATCCCAAATTTTCTAGCTTCTCCATAGAGGAGCACTTTCTGGTAATGTATTTTTGTAGAAAGTATGACATGAATAACATTTGGGAGATATGCAACACTTACAAGAAGACATTTTTATTGGTTAGATGGAGCTTCTGCAGCAAATGTTAGCAGTTAGAGCAGGGGCTCTATTATAACTCAGAAATGCCTGCCTTCAAAGGAGTAGGTGTGGGATTGCAGTATCATGGCATGGGATCCATTTTGTTTGCTTTGTGAAGAAGTCCTGTGGAAACTGTAGGAGGCTGGGGTCTTGGAAGAGCATGGCAACAAGTCTCTCGTCCGGACAATCCCTTAACACTAAAGATTGTTTCTCATCCTCAACATCTCCCTCTCTCCCTCACTGTGTTTGTATATAAATACTGCACACTGTGGTTCCCACTCATTCCTAGTCATGGTCTGACCTTTAAACCTACCTTCCATAGAGGATGCTCAGTGCTACCAGCTGCAGGACAGGTGTGGTGACAGAACAGGTGGAAAGTCTGACTTGTATTTCAATTAATTAGATCCTGCTTCATTTCATCATTTTAGTCTACCTCATTTTAATCTACCTCATTTTTCTATCTTTATCACATCTTAAATTATCAGTTTCTGTCCTTAAAACATACCGTCGTGCAAACAAACAAGTTCCCAAGCAACCATCTAGAGGCTTTCTGCCTTGAGTGAGTCCATAGGTTTGTCTGCTAACTGAGTTCAGTATCACTATGAATTAAAACATTATGCCAGAGATCAGAAGTCTCTTGCTTGTAAATGGGACTGTGAAAGTGGAAAGAGCTTTATTTCTTCTTAGAGACTGTTCAGGAAGGGAAGTGTGTGTTGCTAGTGAATTTAGGGCCATCTACCACTTTGTTCTGCCCTCACCCTTGGCTGAGAGCAGGGAAGAGAGATTTTATACATCCCCCGTTGGCCTGTGGAAAGTGGAGTTTCAGAAATAGCTGAGACCCATCTCAAAATGCTTGCTGTTTCTCATATTTCTAAGTGGTCATCTTCCCAGGGTCAGCCCTGTTCATCAACAAACAAGAAGACTGGGTATGGACACCTTGGCAGAGACTTGGGTTTTAAAGGGAGAACACCTTCAAAATAACAGCAGTATTTTTTGCCGTGACACTTAAAAATATGGAATGCAAAAAGAGGTTTTGCTGCAGGAGAATGGATGATTGATGATTATCATGAAGCTGCAACTACAATATTTAGACTTTCCCCATCTCCTTATGTCAAAGGTGAGGTGTGGTATGAATGACAGCCCCCGGGCCATCTCTGCTTCAGCAAGACATGCAGCTATGTCTGCCTTCTCTCTGGGAAGAGATCAGACAGGATCAGCTAAGGGCATTTCCAGGGCATCTGGCAGTGTGCTATGCAGGCGTGCCATTAATTTAAGGTAGGAGGAGATGACCTATCCAGTCAACTTTCAGTTATTCCCTGACACCCTTCAGAAATGCTGCGGTGCTTTTGTTCTCATTCCTGCTCCCTTGAGATTCTTGCAAAGGCACCTGGTAACATGCAGTACCTCTGTCCTGCTCTGTCTCCATTCTCATCTGGTATCTGGAAAAGGTTGGCCCTGCCTTCCATCCTCACCAGTCCCATCTGTTGAGAATATAGTCAGGGTGTGTTGTGTCTCTCTTGTTCCTTTTGGTCCTTACTTTTTAATTTAAGCTGATGGTGATGGCCATCATGATTGCTGCAGTGGGAAGCAGGATTCTTCAACCTTTTTGACTTGTTAAGTGAGTTATTTCATCCATTATAGAACACTCAGAGGCAATGAGAGACACTAAGGGAAAATTTTATTTTCTTTGTTTTGATTTAGATTTTCTTCTACTGGTTCAGTAATTGTGGGGGATTAGTCACTGTTTGTGCCAGTGTGAGTACCACACATTCCAGAGCTAAGCCTGCTGTTTATAACTTAGAACAAACACATTTATTGGTGTTTGGCCTACTGGTCTTTGAATGGACATCTGAATTGTAAATAAATTTGTTATTTTAAGCAACTTTGTGCCAGGTCGTTTAGAAGCTTACAGATAGTGATGGCAAGACATTTCTCATGGCAACATGCAAAAGGTAATTAGAGCAGTCCCTCATATAGTTTACAATGATATTTATGAAAATTACCTTTGTAGAATTGCTCTTGCTGCTTGGTTGTAAAGAATATTTAAAGGTTTTAAAGTACCATGTGAGAGGTTCTATGTAATTATTTCACAGTGGTCTAAATGAGGTATAACTAATGAATTTACTGTAGCATTCCAGCTCAAGCTGTGGACCTGCATTCATTCCTCTCACTAGTCAGTGACAGAAAAATCTTCTTTTGCTGTATTACAAACATTGTGTTTAAAGGAAATGTTATCCCAGAAAATGTCAGGTTCTGTGATGGGTGCGTTGACATAATCTGTAGTGAGGTGATCAGCCAAAAATGTAATATTTCTAGGGATGCAGAAAACTTGTCAGAATGTAAGAGACTTGCACCCTGGGTTTGGCAATGCTATGGTCTTCAGGAGAACCAACCTGTGGAGCAGCCTCTGGATCCACCTGACCCAATAGCCTACTTATTTCCTGACAGCAGCATATTAGAAAAGAGGAGAGAAAAAAAAGCCTAGAGAGGATTTTAGAGCTGCAGAGTACTTAGCTGTTACATAATTAGCTCCTTGCGGGACCAATATCCCTCCCATTTGAATTAGAAGTCACTTTATAGCCTGATGGGTAAGAGCTTACAGCCCTCAGCAATGCTTTTGGGACTCTCTCCTCGTGGTACTTACTGTGAGTATTTGTTGCCCACATAAAAAACATTTCTGAATTCTGTCAGACATAGCATGTGCCTGGACGTCTCCAAGTGCAGGGAGAGCAAAGTCCTCAGGTCTCTCTTCATTCAGCCATGCAGACGCAGCCTTGGGGGATTTGGGCACACATTTGTTTAGAGAACAGTTCCTGCGTGAGGGCTGGGATGGAGTGAAGAGGCTGGGAAGGAGCAGGATTTCTTAGCCAGCTCATTTCTTTTGGGTCTTGTGGCAGATGAGCATTACGGGGCTCCTGGTGAAGGACAGGTGGCAGTGCCGCTGCTGCTGTCCGTACGTCAGCTTTCTGAAGAGGTATGAAGATGGAGAACTGTGACTCTTTGCCAGCTTCCTTCAGCTGCATGTATGCACATTTACCCCTGACCTTGGGAATCTTTTATTTCTCATCCTTCCTTTTGTCATTTCTTGTCTCCTCATTTTCTCTCTCACACTCACTAGAGATTTATGAGGATGCTGAGGAGCTCCTCCACCTCTGCTGGGTGTGAGGAGATAAGAAGCTGCTCAGACAGCAGCACGATTCCCCCACTGTCACCATTTCTCCTTCAGTACTTTCACTGATCAATACTGAAAGCTTTGGCATAAGAAAAAAAAGCCCTCCATATATTTATTCTTAAAACACAAAAGTTGCATTACAGCAAGACTATTCATTAGGAGGAAGTGGATACTTTAAAACTACTTCAGCAGTTCTCTAATGCTGTCTCGACAGCTGAATCCCAATTTCATAGCACTGGAGAATAAAACATTCGGTAATGGACTGCTGCTGCTATTCATCTCCAGGTACAAGAGGCTCACCCTATCTCTTCTAGTGCCAAGTTGAACAGCTTTGCTTCAATTCAGCTCTACACAGGAGAGGAATACTTTACTTCACTACTGCCTTCACCTGTTCCTTTTTCTTTGCTTCATTGTGCTGGTTTTTCTTGAGTATTTCACAGTTTGTCTACAAGAGAATTTCTTGTTTATTAAAATTCCTTTTTTTTTAATCTTCCCCTCTCCAAACATTCAGCAGCAAACGCCAAATACAATAAAAAGCAATACTCATTCCTTTGTACTCCTTAGATGTGGAGAGTCCTTGTTAATTAGAAAAAGCAGGAAGGCAAAGTTTTCTTACAGAATGATGGGTGTTTCTTTCTTAAATTCTGACAATAGCTGAGAAATCTTTGGGAAGTATGTTCTTGCCAAAATTCACTCAACATTAGACACGCTGTGAATAAATATTTCAGTTTCTTGCTTGCCACGTGGAGTCCTTTTGTTCCTTAGCCCTGCATCTGATTTGAAAACTGAGGAGTGCAAGTATGTATGTTTGGGTTTTTTTCCCTTAGGAAACACAATTTCATGTTGCATTAGGACAGTAAGGGCAGTGCTTCTTGTTACATCCTGATGTTCTAGCTCAAGGCTGTGGCACAGACTGATCTCAGAACACGCATGTGTGTATGCAAGCATGTGTCTTAGATTTCATGTCTTTGGGCCCTTCTTTCACTGCTAAAGTAAATCATTTGTCAAAACTAGTGAGGCCTGGAAATGTTATCCCTCAGTACCATTAGGACCAGTGGGTGCATTGCAGCTGTACAACATTACTTGAATTTGGCATCAAACCTTTTGAGTAGTCAAGCGTTGGTTCATTTGCATTGAAGAAATCTTTCTAGTTGAGCAAATATATCTACTCTTGATTCAAAGGAGTCCTCTGAGTTCAAGGCATCAAAACTCTAGGCACAAAACAAAACTGGGTTTTTTTTCTTCTTTTATCCCCAGAGACTGAGTAAGGGCTCTTTGATAGAAATTACAACTTAATAAGGAATTCTGCGGTGAAAAGTTCTAAGGTTAGAAGAGCCCTGGGTAACTGATAAACCTAAATACACACACAGTGCTTCTGATCAACAGAGATATTGTTCTTTCCCTTTCTACAGATGAGATCTGGGCAGATAATTTCTGGTCAAGGATCCTCCCTAGAAAAGAGGGTATTGAAATGCAAGCCCTTCTTGTCCTTTCTGGTTTTGGAAACACAGAGGTGTGCTTTAGTTCTGGAAGCCTGTGTGTGTGGCTTCATAGAGCCCTGCATCATCCTGAGGGTCGATACTTACACTTTTAATAAAAACCATGCAGACTGGTGGTTTGTTTTTTTTCTTGTCACGCTTTAAACTATTCAGTTAATTTTAATTGCCAAATCCCAGAAAAGCTTGCCTCCACTCAATCAAATTCAAAACCCCTTGGCCAGGTGTTGGGCTGATGAAGTAAAACACATGACAGTAGATGTTCACCCATAATGAGATTTCTTTCTTAGAGGAAACTTCTAAGTGAGTACACAGATGTGTTGATGTAGTAATACCAGGTAAAGCAGTAAGGGAGAACATGACAGAGCACTGTCTATGCACCTTTTGGACTCTGACACCCTTCTGCCCCCAAAGAGCATGTGGTAGTTTTTGAGGACAAAAAAAATAACTCCCATAAATCCAATGCCACTCAGCCCAGCACAGGCTGGAAGTTTTGAAGCAATGTGAAACTTGGTATTTCACTAAATTAAGCACTTGACCACTAACATTCATGCAGTTTTCATTGAACTCATAAATGTGAAAGAACTGTGGGACTCTGTTAATCTGATCATATTAACTGTAAGTTTCCTTTTCCAGTTTCAGAATAAAAGAGATTTAAAAGTCATTCCTATGGTCAACAAAACAGACAAGTTTGGATTTTATTTTTATTCTCTATTACTTGATGTCAAATTGCTTTCTTTGTTATAGCTCATTTCTGAAATAGTTGAGCCATGTTTACTTTCAGGTGTGTCAGTGAACAAGTGTGTAGTTTTCAACAAGTAGTGTTATTTGGGGTTGTCAGTTTGGCAGACTACAATTAGAAAGCCAATTTGTTAAGGCAAGTGTGTTTAATATTTTTCTGATTGGTGAAGCCAGGCACTTAGAACAGCCAGTGACTTTTGATCAAGTGGTGCCTGTCAAATAGCTTTACATTCTTATTCAGGAACTGTCACTGAACTGGAAGGAGTTGCTGTTTGCATATGCCATGGTTTTTGTTCCTCCTGCCTGCTTCTAAAACACTGGGAAGCATGTCTTGGTAGGTCACAACATTAAATCTGGCAGGCAGCAGGCTGTGCAAACCGGCTTTGCTCCTGGAGATGACCCTCCCTGGCTGTACTGTCCTTTCCCACAGGTACACGCTGGCGGCGCAGGACCTGGTGATGCGAGCCAGGGGAGTGCTGAAGGACCGGGGCTGGCGGATATCCAACGACAGGCTGGGCTCCGGAGACGACATCTCTGTCTACGTCATCCCTTTGATCCACGGGAACAAACAGTCCTGAAAGGAGCACCAAGACTGGTTATAGGACGGGGATCTTTTTGGGAAGGGCCTGTAAGAGACAATAGGTTTTTGGTGGTCTGACCAGGACATTTCCAGTTGATGTAATCTAGTCATAACTAATGCTGGAGGGGTATTTTTCTGCCCAAAAGGTAGGTTTCTGCACATATACTGTATATGATAAAAGTAACCCTTAAGATTCCAATTTCCCTACAGAAAGGTTTTGGTGCTTAACAGGAATGGGATTTAAATGCTGCTAGCATATTATGAATTCTGTCATCCCTCTAGGTGGGGTGGGGAATTAATTTTTTTTTCTCAGTTTACCATGTAGCTTGGAAGAGCCATTTCAGTTGTGAAAGTAGAAGTGGGTATCAGAAGCCAAGGAGGCTCCTGAAATCTACCCCCAAATATTCAGAAGTGGGCTTGGGTCACATCTCATTTAAGAATGTAGATATACATATATGAGACTCAAGAGTTTTCTTTCAGAAAGTTGTATTCATGACTTATCTATGAACAACTTCAAACTTGTGTAATCCTTTGAGCCCCCATTTTCCTCTCCTGTCTCTTCTTCAGTAGACTATGCCTCCTGTATTTTAGTAGGAAAACTGAAATTGGTTTCAGTGTAACTATGCCTGTTTACTGCAGCTAAAAACAGTCACCTGCAAAGTTTTCCAGGAGAAATAGGTCACAGTTCTGTATGGCAGAATTTATTCTGGAGTGAGGAGTTACTCGTCAAGATTTCTTGTTGTGTGTATACCATGATTATTCAGAGCATGCAAACTCAGCTTTATGTGATGTTTACCTGGAGGCTGTGGTTTCTTTGGGATCAGAGATTTACATTCATTGAATGGTTCTGCCTGCTTTATCCTGTTGAAAGGATCCCTGACCATAAAATTTTTCATCAGTTGAGATTTAGTGAATTTGTTTGGGCTCCTGAGTGTGTTTTCAGTTGGACTTCTACTTGAAGTAGTGGTATTGGTCTCATTCGCAATTTGGATACACAGATAGTGATCTATTTCAAAGGTGTTTCAGTTCTTCCTGCCTCATTTATTATTCAGCCTGTTTGACTGCAGTGATCAGAAGGGGACAGCTTAAAACTTTCTGTCCTCTTGGCATTGAAAATTGTACTCAAGGATCATGAGATGACTGTGATAGATACAAGCCCTTGGCTTGCTTCAGCTCTTTTCTTAGCAGTGATAATTTAAATAAAGAAAATCTGTGTAAAACATTTTTGACGTGAAAGCAGTAGTCCAGGAGAGAAACAAGTGAGCAGGTCTGCATGTAACCTGGCTGCCTAGTCCACACAGGCAGCTCTCTTACTTCATTGGCAGGAATTTAAGGGAAATCACAATCAGAAAGTTCTAGCATACAGGCAGGTATATTGGCTAGGGAGCCAGCTTCCACCTGATTTGTGCCCAGACCACATTGGTGTGGAGTTGTTCATCTGGTTTGTACTTCTTTGATAAGAAAAACAACAGGGAGCTGACATCACTGCAGGGCACTGACTAGGGAGCTCACAAACGTTGTGTCCTTTCCAAAAGAGAAAGAGATGCTGTGCCCTTTGCAGGTTTTCTCCTGAACAGGCGTGGCCCAGAGCTTGCCAGCTCTATAATTTATCACGTGCTGTGTAAACACAGCACAGCCCAAGTGCAGCCTAGTCCACACAGGCAGCTCTCTTACTTCATTGGCAGGAATTTAAGGGAAATCACAATCAGAAAGTTCTAGCATACAGGCAGGTATATTGGCTAGGGAGCCAGCTTCCACCTGATTTGTGCCCAGACCACATTGGTGTGGAGTTGTTCATCTGGTTTGTACTTCTTCGATAAGAAAAACAACAGGGAGCTGACATCACTGCAGGGCACTGACTAGGGAGCTCACAAACGTTGTGTCCTTTCCAAAAGAGAAAGAGATGCTGTGCCCTTTGCAGGTTTTCTCCTGAACAGGCGTGGTCCAGAGCTTGCAGCTCTGTAATTTATGACGTGCTGTGTAAACACAGCACAGCCTGAGTGTGGGGCAGCTGCCCAGGTGCTGCATTTGACTGCATCTGGACTGAATCCACAGTTTGGTGGATTTAAACTACTCTTGCTCCAAATCTCTAGACCCAGAAGAGTTTCAGGGTGAAAGCAGGCAATGTGGAGAGTGGAACAGCTCAAACATTGCAGCAAGCTGCGTGATTCTAGCCTGAAAACTGTTCTATGAGTTCCCCAGCACCTCATGTGATAAAGCTGTACAGAACATGGATGTTTTGCATTCTAGAGCTTCAGTATAAATCAATGGCATATCTGATTATGTGTTTTCGTGCTTTTTTTCCTGATTTTTTTCTCTTTACCTCCTTTTCTGTGTGCATCTAGGTGAAAAGAGAGGTTTGGAGTCTAGAATATTTTTCACATGACCCCTCATATGTTTTAAAGTTTAAGCAAGAGATCTTCTCTTGCACTTTTTTTTCGGCCTAATAAAGTTATAAACATGCTTTTTATGTTCTGTGTAACTCCTGTTGTCTCCTCACAAATGCAGTTGTGTAGTCCTCTAGCAATTCAGATCCTCTTTGACAAAGAAATTAGTGCTGACAAAGCAAACAGCAAATACGCTGGTGCTTGCTGGTACCAACTACAAGGCCAGGTCAAATATTTCAGTGCTCATGCACTGTTGGTCTTCATTTGGTAACATGGTGTCAACACACATACCAGTTGCTATAAAACCACTGAGATCCACCAATGTGGTGGAAATACATTTCCAGTGTGGCATTTGGCAAAATTTGAGAGTGAAATTTCAGTGGCAATGGAAAAGGCACCTTCTCATTCCAGGGTGTTTTTAAATGTACCTCTGAAGAGATGGGTTAGCAGACTGCATGTCTTGGTGAGAGCAAACTGGCAGATGACTTCTCAGAGCATGATCTGGTGGGCTGGTGAATCAACCTGCACAGTGTTTGTTGTTCATATGAGGATTGCCATCAGTCAGGAGCTTCTCTGCAGCAACTGGGCCCAGGCTGAGTTATGTTCATTGTCACCCCCTCTCCCAGAAAGGGCAGAAATAGAGTATCAACAATTAGTATCAATCAGTGATTCTGAGAACTTTAGTAAAAGGATTTTTACTCAGATGTATATGACTGATACTATCCTGTGATGCTTTTTGTTTTGCTTTTTTTGCAAAGTATCTGTTACACATTTAGGTGCTTGCCTCCCTGAAATGACTGGCACATCTCTGATCCATGCATTAGTACTGGGGCTTTCACTCCTACCTGCTTTCAGTTGGAGGTTCTTGCATACCTGAGCTGGGGTCTGGTGCTCTGCTTCAAGGCATGGTATTAATACATATGTACACCTAAGGCTCACAGAAATAGCAGGCAGAAGTAATTTATAGGGGAGGTATTATGTCAGAAGCAAGAATAATTAAAAGCACTTCCAATTCCCTTTAAAGGCTGAATTACTTTGCATTGCACAGCATTAGAAAACACTGATGGCAGGGAGGATTCCTGGTGCACAATGCCATTTTTCAGATGCAGGATGGGTACTGCCATGTTCAGACTTACAGCTGCTCTAGGGCTCAGTGAAGCTTCTAAGTTAGGAGCAGACAGCTTGTGTCCTCAAACTGGAGCAAGTTAGGCACCAAGTCCAAATTTTAGATCCTGACATGTCATCTTAGTTACTGCCTGATACCGGCAGTGCTCTGGCTTTTTGACAGTCAAGTTCCCTCAGTATCCAAAACTACTACAGCCTCAGCAGCAAGGAATCTCAGTCTGAGTTACATCTGCATTCATTTTGCTATTGCACACAGTGCTCCGCCTTGCCTGTGCATAGGCACTGCTTAGAAAGTTGGGCAAATTCTTGTCCTTCCTTGGATAATGGCAAGGAAAAGTGCCAGTAAAGGAGTTCCAGTTAGCTGCAGTGCAGCACTGTCTTGTGCTGCAGAGTCCAGTCCCATTTCTAGAAATTCAAAACCAAGAAGCTTTTACCATTCTCCCAGAAATACTGTTGTAAAAAGTAGAACAACCATTTAAGATGTTTTTCTCTTGCACTACAGCCTAAAATTTTCTTTAATTATATGAAGAAGGTGGTTAGAAATTTAATTTACACCAGATTATGTAAAACACAACCATCTTTTGGTGCATTAAGACAATAATGCTTCCTTCATGAACACAAAAGTGTATTGTCTGAGAGGGCTTCTGTGCAGTGGCCTCACACTGGAGAACTTTTTTTAATAAATTCTAAGAAATGACAGGGCTAACAGACTAAATGAAAAGTGGCCAGAATCTGCTGTTAATAATGGATTTCCAATTGCAGTTACTTCTGTGTAGAAATATGACAAGAGGTTTTGTGAGGTGCTGTCAGCTCTGTCCCTCCAGGATGTTTCTGAAGAGCTGCTCTTGATGTTTGGGCAGATTTTGGCTCTGAAATTCTGCTAAGTTTTTAAAGAACACTACATGCTTCGAGCAAATCTGCTGTGTTTCTTCCAGCCTTGGTGGTTTCCTTTTATTTTACATTTTATGTACTAATACTTTCAGCATTTTTCTATCAAACTTGAATGGCAAACTGTGTGAAACTGTTGTTCCTCTCAGACATTTTAGGTATGTAAGTAGTTTTCCTCCATGTGTCCTAGATGAAGCCCCAGTGATGTGGCTGTCATAGGGAGAGTGACTAAATGATGCTGTGACTGTGCTGCTGTATTTCTACCTGTGATGTACTTGAAGGAGGATGCCCTTCTCCACCTCCATGGTCATTTTCTTTTATTCTTTTTTTTTAATCCATTGGTGTTGATGTTCTTTCATAGGTGTCTAATTTTGATTTTTTTTTTTTATACTTGCCACATTTATCTTTCCTTCAATGGGCACTTCATCTTAATATCTTGAGATCTGTACAACTGTCTAGGGTTTATGTCCTGAAGAAAGGAGGACCTGCTGGAGGAAGATGTTTTGGACCAATGTACTTCTGCTTTGTGACTGTGAAATGTTAATCTTTTTGTAACCTAAGAACAAAAAATGTTTAGTAAAGGGATATATTTTGTGTTTTTTGAAACTTTTCAGTGCAATGAACAAAAGAGGAGGATACTGAAGAAGTGTATGTGCAAAGTTTTAAAATAAAATTTTAAATTATATATTATATAATCCATCTAGATGTATAGTCATTTTTATTCTGCCTTGGTCATGAACATTCCCTGTGTCTCTTTATGTGTATTATTAATTGTGCAATGCAGACAAGTAACACACTGCTTTACAAGGGAATTGATGACTCACTGACAAAAGGTCTGACTCTTGGGTTAGTGAAGTAAATTCCTTTGAGGTGGATTAGTGGATGGGTTGATCTGGAAGAGTTCAGCTGTAGGGTAGCTGTGAGAGCTTTGTGCTTCCATCAGATCATGATTCATCACTCAGGCTGCCAGTTGCCATGTTCTGACTCAGTGAAGAGCTATGCAAAGTGATCCAGTACCAGCTCTCTGAGGCATTGGCTGTAATTTTGGAAATGACAACATAGTTGGAGTAAGTTTTCCCTCATCCACAGTTCCTTAGGAATCACTGTCTTAAACTCTACTCTATGTTCAAGTAAGGGTGAATTCATGGATTACACTGAAGCAAGCTCTCACGGTTATTTAGTAACCAAAGGTGCTTTGGCAGGTGCTGAAGATGCAGGAACTGAGAGCGGCCTTGCCCTGTGTCAGCACAGCCATGGGCAATGCCCACCTGGGTTGCCAGCAAGAGAATGAGAGCTGGACATGTACCCACTCATTATATTTTGAAATGTTGCATTGTAGCACAAGTGGTTCTCCTGCTTCCTATTTCACCTCGTGCTTAGTAGAAGAGCACTGAAAACATCTGTTCTAGTGCTACTGTGGTTTTGAAAGTGCTGCACGTGCTCTTTGTGTTATCTACTGAGCACAGTGGAGAGTGCACAGAGAGGCAATGTGTTACTTTCTTTCACTCTTGCTTCACTACTCTTCCCTTAAGTCCTGCAGTTTATTACTGCAGTCCAACCTCAGTGTCAAGTTTAAAATTGCTGTGCAAATAAAACTCCAGCACAGCTTTGCCTGGCTTGCTGGTGTCAGCTGAATAGTAAGTGCTGGTAGCATGCAGTGACAGGGAACTCTTGCACACCAACTGAACATAAAGGACCTTATTCCACATCATCCTTTTGCATTTTCTATGCTGTAAATTCTATAAGCTTGTAGATTGAGTAAGGCTTCTTATTTTAAATTTTTTTAGGTGATTCATACAACTCTTAAAATTTGGACACCAGT